AGTAATAAATTAATAAGGTAATTAAGAAGTAAAAAAAAACTTTTTTGAGAAACCCCCCCCCCCCATTATCCAAGTAATAATTAATTCAAAACTGTGCAAAATTATCAATTATCAATATTTTGCATCTAAAATTAAAAACTTAACTTAAGGAATACTGTCATTAATTACTGTCAAAAATGTTTGTATTTTTGCATTTTTAATATTGTAAGAAGGCTTTAATCTCAGTAACTCAATAGAATAATTGATTAATAAAATTTTATTTTATTTAATCGATATAAAAAAATTGTACATTAATATATGTGTGATGGCTCCATGCTGGTCCCAAGAAAAGTTTAATATTTTCAAATATTTTAGCATTATTTATATTAAAACACTGCAATTCGTATGATGTTTATATAAGGTACAATGTAAAACACATTTATTACAAAAACAACCTAAATCTTTGGAGCCCCAGAACTTGGCGCCCTGGGCTACTGCCCCTTTATGCCCCGTCAGAGTTTATCCACAGTGTCAGGAATAACCAGCCTCCATTTTATTCACTAATGTCATCAAACTGGAAGTTGTCCATATTTGGAAAACAATCAAAGCTGAGTCTATAATAATTAGATATAAGCGATAGAAGACAGCTTTCTCGTTTGCTTCCATGAAAAGCCAAATTTTCATAAAAGCTAAACTTCCTTCTGAAATCACTTCTGTTGTAAATATTGTCATTATTTACATTTGCTGAAGTAATTAATTTTTCTGCTCTGTTCAGAGCTGCAGACTTAATAACATTTCTCTCAGGTTGTTTGGAGTTTTCTCTGCTTCGTGATTCTTTCTTGCTGGCACGCTCCGCCGGCTGCAGGGAGTTCATCAGCGCTCTGGGCGACCCGGCGGGTCACAGATCAGCGGCTGCAACACGAGCCATAACTCAGCCTCTGCAGTGTCACAGACAAGAGGCAGGCCCATCCATAACCGGCCTGATTACCAACGCACTCACAACACCGCCCAACCCAGATGAAGACACTCGGGAAAACTCAGACTGCCTCCACAGGAATAACTCAGCCAACAATAACGCTCGTTTACGACCTTAGTAACTTTAAACTGTATATTTGTTTTCTATGGAGCTCAATTAGGGCCATCTGGTTTGCTTTTTAGAGTCTGAAAAAAGAATTTAAACAAAAAGTTTTAAAACTGAAAAAAGATTTGAAACTGAAATATAATTTTAAACTGAAAAAAATGTTTGAAAAAAAAGTTTGGAAACTGAAACATAATTGCAAAACTGAAAAAATATTCAAAGCTACTTTTCAGATTCAAGGTTTTATTTTTCTCTGTCAAAATTATTTTTGAAAATAATTTGCCTAAATCTATTTTTTTCTTTCAGTTTCAGAATTTTTGTTTGTGTGTTTTGAGCCAAATTTATGGCCACAATTTAGCTCCATAAAAATACCAACTTACAGAAAATGACAAGTTATTATTAAGCGCCTGAAACATTTTATTTTAGGGATAAATTCAATTTAAATGTCAGAGTAAATTATAATGGTGGAAAACATTTCAGACGAAGGTAATAAAGCAGAGAATGTTGCTTTGCATCTTAAAGCTACAGATCAGTTTCCTCTTAGTTTTGCAACGATTTGCACTGGAAACCAGACAAAAATACCTGGTAAGATTTTGTCTTTGCAGAGTAAAGGTGAATTTTTCAGTGTGGAAATCTTAAATACTGTAAAAACTAACAGGGTTGAAGTCCAAACCAGGTGTCCTGCATAGAGCTGTTACTGTAATCCAAATGTAGTGGAAACCACTTCAGAAACGTATCTAAGATCTCTCCAGTAATTTCTTCTGAGGTTAAAAGAGCTCAAGTGGTGAAAAAAGATAAAATCTGATGAACGTAACGTCTGCGCTGCGCTAAAGGTGAGCAGCTCAGCGTCTGATTAAGACATGAATTTAAAATGTAATTAAAAAGTGAGCAGCTCTTCTGTGACCCGACAGGACCGACAGCACAATCAGTATTCCTGCATACTCCTTCTCACAGCGCCGCTCTGAAATGTTAATTACTCAAAAAAAGAGAGGAATATTTCCACTTATCACATTTCCAGTTCATCAGGAAGTAATGAAACTGATTCATTTCAGGCTTCAGGTGCTTCCAAACATCCTTTCTCTCAGATTCTCTTCAAAATCCCATCATTCGTGTTTGGATGTGGCTTTGGTGGCGCCGCCTGCAGCTGCCAGCCTGTTTAATCAGCGGCTCGATGTCGTCTGGAGGTTAATTACAGCTCTGATGAGAACCAATGGTTGGGAGAAACAACAGGTAATGTACCTGAGTGTCAGTCTGAATTATTTAGTTAAAACAGAGAGCAGGATGCCTCAGTATGCAGATATAATCAGGCTAATTATACAGCAGGCTGCCAGAACTACTGGGAGTTTAACTGTTTATCACAAACTTTGGCAATTATACGTACATTACGACGGACGGACGGTAAAAGAGACGCTGCCGGCTCGAGGTTAAAGGTCGGCTATTACATTTGATTTCAGTTGGATGTTGGTTCTGCCGACCCGTTGGACCAGAACCAGCTGAACTCCCCGTGTAATGACTACCTTCATTTAACCTTTAACCCCCGACGCTCATAAATAAAAACTGGAGAATCTTAAATGAGGGTTTCGTCTCATTTCTGATCTCCAGTTAAAACATGAATAAAATCACCTAATAAAAAAAAGACTTTCCACAGAAACAACTTGACCCGACTGCTGCTCTCACAAATCATAATCTACAAAATGTGACTTTTTTTTAACCAAAATATACAAAAAACTTAATATGAAAATAAAAACGAAATAAAAACAATTAAATAAAAATATCTGACATGACATTATTTCAGGCCAGTATTTGGCTGGGAGTCTGTGTGGATCTGCAGATTTCCGCTCCAGCTCTGGGGATCAGCTGTCAACAGGTCTGGGCTTTGACTAGGCCACTCCAGAACCTCTACCTCGTTGTCTCTAAACAGTCGCTGTAGCTTTAACTGGATGCCTTCTGTCTGAAAAGTAAATGTTTTCTCCAAAGCCGAAGTTCCCTTTTAAACTTTCCATCACCACAGCATGATGCTGCAACCACCATGCCTCAACGGTGATCTTCTGGTCGTCGTGTCGAAGGACCAGAAGCCTCCATTTTGGTCTCTTTAATCGTCCCATTTTGTTGGACCTCTTTGTCTTGTTATGATCTTGCGATGATGTTGTCAGATCTTGTTGTTGAATAACTTTGAAACTGATCCAAAGACGCGGCGGCCATTTTTACTGCCATAAACAAACAGTAATGTGTGACATCATGAGGGTCACCTGAGGGTCATCTGATTGCAGTTGCATTTAACTGGTAATATGAGCAAAAAAAACCCAATAATTTCAGCAAAAATAATAAAAATTGGGCATCAAGATCTGCTGTGAGAACGTAGACTGAGCTCAGAAAAAATGGAGAAGAAAACAAGAACTGGGTATGTTGTCCATGAAGAACAAAAGGGGAAAGGAGGAAAAATACTTATAATTAAAAGAGAAAGAAAGAAGAAAAGGATCAAAAAGAAAAAGTGAAATAAAGTTGGCGCAGGGTTTTTATCGTCAAACTTTGTGTTCATTTCATAGTTTTGTTCAACAAATATGGAAGCATTTCACTGCCAAAGCTCAGAAATCAATTCAGGAGCCGAGTCTCGTTAAAACATGAAGCCAAACTTGGTAAAATGAGACGAGTTTTATATCTCGGTATAACCAGGAAAGCTTCTCCTTACAACAACATATAAATCTGATCTCATGAAAACAAAGTTTGTTGTTAATATTTAAGTGTCACATTAAAATGAGATGAGGTTTATATCTCATGATAAAGAATGTATAACAAGTTTAGCATCTTGTTGCAAGAGGAAACTTTCTCATTTAATGAGTTCTGCACAAAGTTTCACATTAAAACATGATTTACATCTCACTTTAACAAGAAACTTATTATGAGTTTGCATAGCAGGAAAGTTTCCCATCATAACAAGATGCAAAACAAATTAAATTTCCTATAGTCACTTATTGACTTTATATAGGTTTTATATTGTAATCTCTACAAGAGTATTAACAGTTATAGTTCAACTACAGCTTTTATTTTTGCAGTTTCTCTCACTCCAGCAGAAAGGTTGGAGTATCTGATTAATTTATAATAATATTCCTGTTTTGGATCCAATTAGAAGGAGATTATTCCAGGTTCTGAGGTTTTCCAGCTGCAGCTCCTCCAGAGTCACCATGGATCTCTTGCTGTCCAGGTTGTATGGTTAGCTGGACGTCCATGTCCCGATGCGTCTGCAGGTCCATCCTGTCTCCATGTCCACATGATGGATTTATCACAGACTTTGGATGTTACTGTAGAACCAAACCAACTTCCTCCCTGACCTGCTGCTGGGTTTCTTGGTCTTTGTGATTCTATTTGTTCTCTCCTGTCCAGGCAGGTGGTTCCACTGGACCTTAATTAGGATTTTCACATTAAAATGCATCATTTTCCTTCAAAATGTGGGAAATAGATCCTCTTTGAATAGATAATATTGTAGATTATACTGTTAAAAGTGTATTAATTGTTAATTTTTAAATTAATTTTAATTTATTCACCAATTAGTGTACAAAACAAACATTACAGACTAACAAACAGAGGCATTGATCTGCAAAATAAGTAACCAATTAGATAAGAGAATGAACAACAACAACAAATGAATAAATAAATAAAATAAACAAACATCCACTTAGAACAAAGACAAAACACAGACCTTAACAAAATGATGTCACAGCAAAACATTGAATTGTTCAGCATGTCAGTTACGATTATTTTCCTTTTCTCTAATATTTCTTATGATTAATCACACAGCAGTGGAAAGAGAGGGAGGAAAAAATATGCCGCAACAAAGCAAAAAAAAAAAAAAGTAAATAAATTGAAGATAACTAAAGAAGACGTTTTGTGATCTTAGTAACTTAAAGAAAATCAAAACTTTTCCATTCAAGTCGATATTTTACCCAAACCTGCTCTTCTTCATCAAAACCAGACAAACCTGAAAGACTTTCCCAGTTTTATTAATAATAACGGAATTCATGCAGGAAATCCAGTTTAAAATGAAAAACACCAACTTCGTTGTTTATCATCCGCCAAAAACCATAGAAGAAGAAAATACGCGCTGTTTTCGCGCGTAAAGACACCAAAACTTTCCGTAAAAACTGGTCATGAGAGGCTGGAGTCTCGGGGTTCCCCGTACCCACCTGCTCCGTGGATGTTCTCCTCGCAGGAGTACCAGATGCCGGTGTGGAAGCGGCGGAACAGGAAGCGGTCGTCCCCGGTCTCCCAGCTGTAGTGCACCTTGTTCTGGTCCGTCTCGTTCACGCCGTAGTCGATGCAGTTGTGGCGCCGCTGCTTGCTGCAGTTGGGCTTGGGGACGCGCTGGGTGCCCTCGCACCAGTAGGTGGTGATGAAGGCGGTGGTGGAGAACAGCAGAGCCGCCAGGTTCAAACACACCGACAGCAGCGCGCGACATTTCCGCGTCGTCTTCATGGTTTCCCGCCAGAACCATGCGGGACGGTCAGAGAGGCGGCATGGCGCGGCGGCTTTACGCGCGGCTCCTTCCTGCGGGTCGGTCCTCAGCAAAATGACAGCCGTCCTCTGTCCATCTGCTCCGCTGCTGAGTCAGAGGAGGAGAAGCGAGGCTGCCAGCGGAACACCCCTCTTTCTGTCCCTCTGACGGCGGCTTGTGCGTCATCACCTGGACCGAACCGAGCTCACACCGCCAGCATCTCACCGATTAACATCTGTTTCACAAAATACACTTAGGATGCAAAACAGAGGAACAGCAAACTCAGAGGTGGGAAGAGAACCCCAAAATTATACTCAAGTCAGAGCAGAACTAAGTAAAAAGTCATCAGAGTAGATGATCAAATGATCAAATTATACTTAAAAATTACATCATCAAACAGACTAAATGTAAAGTTAAGTGCAAATTTTGGTATTTTAAAGACCAAAATGACAGTAATTCATATAAGTAACAAAAAAGAATTAGGCAAAAGAAAATGTTCCGTATCAGTTTCTTTTAATATAAAACTTATGAAACTTTGAAAAGTTTCATAAAACTGTGTGTATTTTTTAGTGCACTTTTAACACTAAAATTGTTATTTTCTTTAGCTGAAAGACATAAAAACAGTTTGTCACTGTTAGGAAGCTGTTTATCTCTTGAAACAGATTTCCAGAACATTAGTGGAGCTAAACACATCAGCATGGAGCCAGGCGTACCTTCTATAGGAGAGGAAAACAAAGAGACGATGACACCAACAGCTCCATCCAAGAAAACAGTGAGCCAGAGAAAAACCTTCTGCAGAGAAAACCTTTAAAAATAGAAATATTTAAAACACATGTCACCAACAGCAGCAAAGACTCCACTCAGAAAGCCAGAGGGACTTTCTGCATGAATGAAGCACAAAGAGAACACAGTTATCTGTTCCAATACACGAGAGAATATATTTATATCATAATATATAATATATAAAAATAAAAAATGGGAGCACACAGTAACGCATTTCCATTAATCATAGAATATTGCAAATTGAAATTACAAAAATAAATGTTCTTAAAGGAAACAAGCTAATTGAGAAAAGCTGGGAAGAGGTGGTTTTACAGCCGTATCCAAACACTTTTTTTACATCGTGAGTCACATGATCACCGGCCGGATGTTGCTACTGGCAGAAACAACGAAGAAGACGACAGGAAGTGACAAGAGGATGATGTTTGTTTTTTTCACTCCATCAGCGCTCTCACTGCATCGCAGTTTATAAAAGGTTTAATTCGTAACTCATCAGTAAAATGGCCGACTACAATTTCCACATACTAACCACTCCTTGGTAGGCGGGGCTTGTCACTCTAAAGCCTGAATAAGACACCAACGTCTCCTCTGATTGGCTGATAAATGATTAGCACCATAGCTAAGTTATGAATATATTTCATGTAACCTTTTACATCCGTCACTGCCATGATTTTTATTGGCTCATCACGTTCCCAGCTTATTCATGTGTGATTTTAATTTAATTTCTTATTTAATAGAAATACCATAATTGCGAAATTGTCTTTTTTTTTTTTTTTGCATTAGCAGAATATAGACAAACGCAGCTAATTAGCAATAGCGCCAAAGGAAATGCAGGTAAACACGACGGCACTGAGGCAGAGATGCTTCTATGAAACAGAAAACAAGCAACACAGAGAAAGTAGCACCAAATCGGTACCAGGAGAGTTTACTGTAAGGAAAAATTAGAGTTACTGGCAGAAATATCTTTGTCACCAGACCCGTTCAGGAAATAGACCGAGCCAGAACTCGGCTATGGCGGTGATAAAAGTTTCTGCCGCAGAGACTTAAAGCTTTAGATTTTACTTTTTAAGATTTCATCCACTTTAACATTCTCTATCAACCTCATGCTACAGGGAGTTTCCCCCAAATATCAAGGCTCGCCTTCAAATCAATAAATCAAATTAAAAATGAGATGAAAGAGACGAGCAGCTTGTCTCGTTTCATCCCATATTCTGAGCTCTGCAGGTACAACAGCTGCTCTTTCTTTATGCAACTCTGGAACATTTTGCAGAAACGGTGGATGTGTAGAAAGGGACTTCTTACTGATGAGCCGGCAGGGATCTGGCATGAAAACCCCGGATGACAAGGCCGAGCCGCCCACCTCACCGATCCATCAGCGCTCATTTTACAGCTCCCACCTCCAGATCGATGCGCCGCTGTCACTGTGTGCTGTACATGTGATGTATGGCGCTGCCTTCAATCAGACTGACAAAGCTTCACAGGAGTCAATAAAGTGAACAGAAAACTGTTGATGAATGCAAGGTTACGCTGTGAGATGTATCTGCCTTCAGAGGCGGAGAGCCTGAAGTATTAATGCTCCGTTTCTGTTGTTTTCTTATTGTAACAGCACCAAGAAATCAAGCAGATAAGAGCGGCTCCAGGCTGTGGTTTGACTTTGGGAAGAAAAAGAACCCAATAAATACTTAACTGTCCAAATAAAAAGATCCTCCAACTCCATCCTGAGAGCTGAAATATAAAAATAAGACAAGATGTGAGCAGGGAAACAGGATGAGAGATGAACAAAATGCTTTAATAGAAACCTGCCTGCCAAATAAAACTGTAAGGAGGGTGAATTAACCAACAAACTCAACTGAAATTTCAGTCAAGTGCAAAATTCTCATAACAAATTCTTTAATTTCCAACAGTTAAAATGGTAGCTAACAAGTTTGATAAGCTAGCTTCTCCACCAATCAGCTGTAGTTGAGGTGCATCAGCAACATTCACACAGCAGGTTTGATCAGTTTTTGCAGAAATAGAATAATTTCTGTTTGTGGTCAATCATGGTACTACTTAAATGTGACTGCAATCATCTTCTTTGGGGACAGTTTCCGATCTCAAAGCGAACCACAGGCTCAGAAGAAGAACGTAGATGACGTCACACAGCAGCGTTCTGCTTACGGCAGAAATAATGGCTGCCGAAAACAGCCAGATGTCCAACAGTGGAACTGTTGATTTGCATAACTACACTAACATCTCTGCTACTGCTGAAGCTTCACTAAAACTGAAAGCCGTCAAAGTATTTGGTTACTGTTAGGAAGCTGCTTAACTGTTAAAACATATTTCCAGAAAGTTAACAGACACGTCAGCATGGAGCCAGGCGTACTTTCTATATGAAAGAAAACCAGAAGAGTCGCCTGGTTTCTTCTGGTGCAGAATGATGATGGCAGAGACCTGAAGGTCGTATAAAATGCAACATGACCGATCAGACTGCAGATGCTTTTAGTCCCATATGAAAGTGGAACAGAAAGAGTTGATTTGGGATTTATTACACGTTTGAAAAGAGTTCCAAACATGTTGCCAAGCAACAAATATTAGTTTGGACTGAAATAGAGAACAAGAATCTGAACGGCAACTTTAATTAGAAAACACATCAAAATATTTGTCTCCAGGTTTTTGTGCTGCAGAGTTTCCTTAATCCACCAGAATAAAGCTGCAACTCATAAAGAGCTGCAGTCACCCTCTGCTGCCCCCACAAACACATCCACACATATTTGGGAGTGTTGTTGGGCAGACGCCATGTTGGAGATTTCCCACCGGATGGATCAGGCCATCTGCGTTTTTTCTCCTTCGCCCCGTCTTTGTTTGCAGCCTGAATTAAATAGCTGCACCAGCAGGTAGATCACGACGTCCGAGTTAACACGGCTCACTGCAGCAGCAGGTAACGCAATACGACCCCAGGCTGAACATCATCAACACACCCCTGCAAAGCGCTCACACACACAGCTCCGAACCCATCTCATCGTGTGAAGTGAAGATAATAAACAACAAGAACTCCAGGCTGGAGCGTTTTTACAAGTTTGGGGAGTTTTTTGGGAACACACTGTTGAAGAGTGTGAAGGAAAACTCTTCTAAGATGCTATTTATTTACACAGGAATTAAATAAAACTTCTTTTTCTGACATTAATGTATTCATCACATTTCACTCACATTTCAATAATGAAATGTAGATATTTTTGTGCTTTGCTCTTATTTTAATCAGTCAAATCATCTTCTTCCATAGGAAATTTATAAAAATGCACTAATATACGAACAAGATGACTGTCAGCTATTTTTAACTCTTTTTCTTTCATTTTACTTTAATTTGCTGCTTTGTTTACATGATATTTCAACATTTACTTAGAAAACCAATAAAAAGCAGCACAAATGTAACAAATGCACTTTTATTTTTTGTCAAGTTAAATATTTACGAGATATTTTTGAGGTGCAGCAGGAACTGGTCCTCAGTTCTGTTAAATCTGGGATGCAGCTCTGAAACAAAAAGATACGGACTTTCATTCATATTCCATATTTGAACACGGACCTTCCCCTTGTGCCTGTTTTCCTTCTCACTCAGAGGAGAACCAAAGGAGGAACAAAAAATATCCAATAGAATAGTAAAATGTAGCATTGTTTATTTTCCAGATGCGTTGTGCCGTTCTAAATCATAATGAAGTAACTATGTTACCTTCAGTGGTCATAGAAATGTTGTATCTATCAGATATTACTTAAAATAAATTTGATTTTGGGATTTAATGCCTTGAAATTGGGCCTCTGTCTCTTTAAAAACTCCTGTCCTTCCTGAAACTCGGTCTCCAGGAAGCCATCACAACATGGCTCCTCTATTAACGTTTTACCAGCGTTGCTCTGAGAAGCGGCTCCGTTAATGAGCTCAGCTTTCAGGTGTTTGCTAACTGCTGGTGGCTAGGCTGAACATTTTGACTTATCCACTTGCAGCTTTGGCATCCTTGAAGATGAGGCAAAAAAAATCATGGGATTTGAAAACTGGTTAGCCTGCTGTCTGTGACCTTCTGCAGCAAAAACTGTAACAATAATTTAAAAAAAAAACTGAACAGAATGAAAAATTTGAACCAAACAGAACATAAAGATATCTACACAGCACCAGGAGACTTTTCTGATCCCACTGAGACTCCAATTACACAAGAAAAGGGCTAAAAAATGGATTTCCATGAAACTACAGTTTCCATTTGTCTTGGAAACTGTAGTTTCCAAGACAAATGAATCCCTCCTTTTAAGAATAATCACATTGCGCCAATGCTAAGGAAGTCTTTTTGAAACTTCTTTGGAAAATGTTCACATTATGTCCTTATGAACGAGTCATGTTGTGGTTCATTCCTGCGTTTAGGAGCCTTTTTATTCCTGAATGGAACAAAAACTAGCAAAATAATTTTTA